TTTGGGTAATTGTCGACCGGTTAACTAAGAGCGCACATTTTCTTGCCATGCGTGAAACGGGTCCAATGGAGAAATATGCACAAGTATACTTAGATGAAATTATTGCAAGACATGGTGTGCCACTAAAGATTATTTCCGATCGTTATACTCGCTTCACTTCTCATTTTTGGGCGAGTATGCAACGTAAATTGGGATTTCGAGTTGCTCTCAGTACAGCTTATCATCCCCAGACAGACGGTCAGACGGAGAGAACGATCCAAACAGTAGAAGATATTCTTCGTGCATGTGTTTTGGAGTTCGGTGGTAACTGGGATAAGTACTTACCTCTTGTCGAATTTTTATATAATAACAGTTACCACGCTTCAATCAAAATGTCACCATATGAAGCATTATATGGTCAGAAATGTCGTACTCCATTATGTTGGCGTGATGTAGGACAGAAAATCCTTGGAGGCCCTGAAATGATTCAAGACACCACTGACAAGATTCAAATTGTACGAGAAAGAATGAAAGCGGCCCAGGATCGACAAAAGTCTTATGCAGAAAGGAGTAGACGACCCATAGAATTCCAGGTGGGTGATTTCGTAATGCTGAAGGTATCCCCATGGAAAGGCATTATGCGATTTGGAAAGAAAGGAAAAGTAAGTCCTTGATTTGTTGGTCCTTTAAAAATCATCCAGAGAATTGGTAAACAAGCATACCGTTTGGAATTGCCGGAAGACTTGGCGGGTATTCATGATGTGTTTCATGTGAGTTAACTGCGTAAATGTTTAAGCATATATGATGAAGCGGTTCCATTATCCGAGGTGAAACTAGATAATAAGTTAAGATATGTAGAGGAGCCTGAAGAGATCGTAAACGAAAGAACGACTAATCTACGTAATAAAGAAGTGGAGTTGGTGCTTGTCAAGTGGAAACACCATATAGGCCCAAATTATACTTGGGAAAATAAGAATGAGATAAGAGCGAAATATCCCCATTTGTTTAAATCGTTGTAATTTCGGGGACGAAATCCTCAAAATGAGGAGGTATTTGTAACATACACGTTCAGTTATCGTGTTTTGTTTAAAAATGAATATTAGTAAATAATATATGATTTTGAGTATTGAGTTGTAACAAGATAGTTTTATGAAGAATTGAAGTAAAACTATGTTTAGAATCATTCGGAAAGTATTGGAAGTCTTATCAGATTCCAATCAAAAGTCAAATATTGAAATTAACGAAAATATAAAGTTGGAAATAAATAAAAATAATGTTATTGAAAGTTGTAGATTATCTCGTTAGAAACATTTAGGCGAAAACCTCATCGAAATCCGAGTTATAACGAATAAGTTATGACCAATCGAAAATCCGCGACAAAACTGGCAAAACACTATTTAGCGTAAAAAGTGAGTTTTTAATAAACTACTTTTTAGCTTTAGTGATCTAAATGAAAGTCATAGTATTCGTTAAACCGAGAATTTTCATAAAAAGAACGTCCAAATCTGACTTCGTATGAGGAAGTTATGATTTTTCTAAGTTTCAGTATAGCAGTATACAGCTAAAAACTCAAAATAAAGATCGAGTGATTTTTAGCCGACACAACCTAAACGAATCGAAGGTCTCGTCAATAGTAGTACAACGGTAAAAAGACAGACAAAATCGGACGTCGGATGAAGAAGTTATGAATTTTTAACGGATTTTCCTGTCCCGGTCTGTTAAAAATAATATTATTAAAAATAAAATAAATTAGCCAACTTATTCTAAAAGAAAGTTGTAGAGTATAATCTCACCTACGCATGCATATAAAGAACGTCGAAAACGGAGCTCGTATGCGAAAGTTATGAATTTTTGAAGATTTTGGCACAAATTCCGAGAAGCTTCGCATGCATGGCTCGGATTCGGCCACGTACAAGCGTCGGATGCTTGCCCCGTGTCCGACTCGTGGCGCGTCCGAAATTGTATTTTCTGTGCCATTTGGACTGAAGCTTTATTGATGTATATCAAGTTGAAATTGTTATGTCTCATTGATAGTAAATCTTTGAATCAGATTGTTGGTTGATATGGAAAGTCTGTCATATGATACACATATACCTTTGTTGTTCTTTGTTCCTCTTTGCTTCTATCATATTGGTATATATATATGGCATAACGTTATATTGTATCTATTTTTGAACTCACTAAGTGTCACCGCTTATCTCTCTCAGTGTTTAACTATTGCAGGTAATAAGGATCCAGTATAGACACATACTGTTGGAAGATTTAGAATAGTTAATAATATTACTTTTGTTTTTAGTGATCGTATATGTATAAAATTATAATTTCCTGGGTAGTTATGTAATATACTAAAACTTAGTCGGTTTGTATCCAGTCTTTTGTAATTAAACTATCAATGTAAAATATTGTTTATGAATATGCATGTAGCATGTTTTGGAGTAATATGATGAAATTTTAGAGAGGGGTTCTCTCATTACAACACCTTCCTCTTCAGTGATGACAAAGTAACTGTATCCACCAAAATCTAATTTGCAACCTCACAATTTACAGATACATGCTTACAATCCTCCATAACCAACAAACAAGAAGGACATAAATCAGTGGGAATATGCATTCTTCTATCAAACAGATTAACTCTAGTAAGGATCATATCCCAAACAACCATCCAAAGAAGAACATTCATGTTTATATGAACATGACTTCACCATTTATAGGAAAGACACATTTTTAATTGTGATACTATCAATGTAAATCCTAGTAGAGCTAGCTGAAAAAAATATCATTGGGTTCAAGTTCCCACTCTTATCTATCCGCTGATCACCAAGATGAACATTAATTAGTAACTCAGTCATGATTGAAAGTTGATGAGTCATAATCCTATCCCGTGCCCCCCTCTAATCCCACGACTCCAAATCTACACCAACCCTCCATCTCACCATTTGTCAGCAAAAAATCACTTTATATTTGTCTCCACTACAAAGAATCTACTGAAGCACTCCATAAGTCTATCATCTTCCACCTATACCTCATCCTAAAACTAAGTATCTTCCCCATTCCCAACATTCTTAATGAAAAAAATGAGGAAGAACATGTTGTGTATGAATTTTATCTAGACTTTTCACCAAATACGACAAAACACCACCACCCTTTGATTTAGGATCATGATAGCCTAGACCCTCATGAATCTGATGAATACTCATAATCACCCTAACCCACATATAATTTAGGTTAGTACAAAACTGCCACCACCATTTTTTAAGCAACTCAACATTAAGAGTCTTTAAACTTCTAAGGCCCAAACCACCTGTCTCTTTAAAATTCAATACAATCTCCAACTATATTAAAGTTATCTTTCTTTCCACATCATTACCGCCCAAAGAAAACAAGCTTGTAATGCCTCTAACAAATTACCAACAACCTTAGGCATCTTGAACAAGGACATATAGTAAATTACCAAGCTACCAATAAACGATCTAATCAAAGTCAGCTTACTGCTCACAGAAAGTAAGTTAACTTTCCAGTTCGCCAAACGCTTCTTGAATTTATGGAAAACCACATCCAATTACTAATATGCCCCATATTTGATCTTATTGGCACACCAACGTAAGAAAACGACATGGTAGTAGGTGAGCATCTTGTAACCACATCCATCTTTTACATTTCATGCATTGTAATACCCACAACATACAAATTTAACTTTTGTAAATTAATCCTTTTTTTAAAACTATGCAGAAACAATTAAGGATAATAATCAAATTTGCAATATTCCTGACATACCACTCTCCCATAAACAACGCAACAACTAGATATAAAAAGATAAGACAAAGTAAACCCTTTCTCACCAACTGACACACCACATAATAAGTTTTCACTAATAGCTATGTACATCGCATCATGAAAGCCTTCATGGCAATAATAACAAAATAAAGAGACATATGGTCACCCAGGCGTAGACCCCTCTTCAATGTGAATGCATGTGTAGGACTTCTATTTACTAGAATGGAAGCTCGAGAAGACTCCAGGCAAGCGTGAATCCACCTTAACCATTTATGGTGAAGCCCTATATGCTCCATGATCTTCAATAATAATCCCAACTCACATAATCATAACCCTTATCAAAATCAACATTTAACACCATGACCTTCTCCTTTCACTTAAACTATTCGGTAACCTCATTCACCACTCATAGGCGATCCAAAATATGTTTGTCTTTAACGAAAGCATACCGCTTTGGATTAACAAGAACATCAATACCAGTTGCCAATCTAGTAGCTAAATGTTTTGCAATAATTTTATATTGCACTCCATTTAAGTTTATCGACCTATACTCTTTAGTACGTATTGGACAAGCAACATTTGAAATTAACGTAATGAAAGAAGAGTTGCATCCATGAGGTATCGGACCACTCTGAAATTAACGTAATGAAAGACAATGAACGTTTCTATTTTTTATAAATTACATATTTGGCACAGACTATTTCTTTAACTTTATGATACACATTGACTATTTCTGTAATTTTTTAATTAAGTAGGTACCATTTAAGTATATATATTTGATAATATAAGGAGGAAAATTGCTTTAGGGGTTAAACTTGTAATTTTTCTAAAACACAAAATTTTAAAAGAAATGAAAGATGGGTAGTTTATTAATAATGGAGAAGAGTCTAAGGACCAATTCTATAATTTGGAGAGTTTGTGAATAATAAAGAAAAATCAAGGGGCCATTTATGAAAATTATTAGCATGGCGTAAGATAGCAATGGGCCACCTGAAAACGGCAACAATTGTTATATATAATATATAATACAATATGTATAGCCATAGAATTACATAACTTATATGTTTACAAGAACTCCCGATACATATAATAAAAAAAAATGAAAGAAAAAAATTGATTCATTTGCAATCTTAACAATTGCTAAAACCTCACAAAGGACTCATACCGAATAAGAGGATACATTTTCCATCGCTTATGCTATCTATATAAAAATATAAGGAATCAAATACAAAAACAAATATATATAAGTACCACCTCTATATATATTATCGTAGTATACACAATTTAAACAAGAAAAAGGTGTGAACTTTTTCACAAAATACATATACCACAAACCAATACTAATAATAATAACATTCATACAATATAATACATACAATATAATACATGAAAATAGAAATAAACAAGTCACAATTTGCTGCAAAATTTTCCAATAAACTCAGCTCTCAAATCTCATGGCTCTGCAGTCGATGTGATTGTTTGATATTGTGCAGCTGTTTGAGGAGGCATAGCCTGTTTTCCATAGTATATATGCTGCTGTAACTGCTGTCCTTCATAAGCATAATTACCTCCACCACCATATTGATTACCAGATGGGACCCGCATCAGCTGTGGACTACCTGAATTTGTTCTTCTGTAAACACCTGCCGGAAATTCAGTTTTTGGAGCAGGTTGATTTTTCCGGGGAGAATCTGAATCACTTGGTTGTTGTTGCTGCAATGGGAAGTTGTACCCTTGGTGGGGCATTAAATACACGAAATTCTGCTGACCCATTGCCGGATTTTGAGGATGGTGGTGGCCCTGAGACTGGTACATCTGGTAGTAAGGTGCTACCGGAACCACCGCCGGAGAAGGGTGGTGGTGGTGGATGTATTGTGGTGGTGGAGCAGCAGTATGAATAAATTGGAGTTGTTGGGTTGTTGGCATCGACAATAAATAAGGAGAATTTTGAATTTGTTGTTGTTGGATCTGAATTCTCGTGTTTTGATCAGGGGTTTCGTTTAGATCAGTAGATCGATTATTGTTACCAGAAGATTGGATTTGAAGAATTGGCGTTAACTGATCGCTGCAATTTTAAACCAATGATAATTGATAAACTCCATTAAAATCAAAATAGATAGTATGCGTTGCATATATAAACACAGTAGTATGAAATACCTTAAAACTGAATCCGAAGAAGCCAAATCAAATCCCGTAGATTGTTTTTGCTGAAATTGCTGTTCATCCTTTTGATAAGCCATATGTAAACCTTGATAGGATGAGAAGGGATCAGACTGTTCCGGGATCGCCGTCGCAGAACTCATCGGAGAACCTGAAACCACCACTGGAGTCGCCGCAGGGATGAAGCCCGCATCGTTTTGTTGCTTATGATGTCGTTGCTGTACAGTCATCTGAGAAAATTGCTCTTCGATTCCTCCTCCTACAACCTTCGGATGATCATCCACGTTTAGTTGAATCGGCGGCAGGTTAGGAAGCGACGGAGTCGACGATGCCGACCCAAACGATGAGGTTGTTTCCATCATCGGAGAATCGGGTATGGAATGAACATCCTGACCCGAATTGTTACCTCTGAGGTTTGTAGCGATGGCACTTTTGTGATTAACATCCTTTTTCTCATGGAGAGAGATCTCATCATCCAGACCTAACAAGTAGTTAACCGATGAAGTATCGGAAAACCCTGAATCGGTACCATTTAGCGCGCTAAGAAAACCAATCTTCCGATTTAGTTGTGTTCTCCAGAAACGACGTGATTGAGGAAACGGATTCAAGTTTCGTCGGAAAAAGGAATAAACGAAGACGTGAGGATTTACTCCCGGCGGAGGATGAATTCAATCTTTCGTATTCCTCAATCATGTTTTCGAGGTCTTCATCGGTGGTGACAGAGATCAACGAATCAAGGTCTTCAGAAGGAAGCTGGTATTTGAGAGTAAACGATGTGGACGCTATGGGAGTCGGCGTTGATGCAGACGATGATCGGAGTAGGGTTTTGGAGAGGCGGTTAGTGAGGTCTAGTAGAGTAGTATGACGGTCTACCACCACCATACGCGTCTCTCCACCAACGTAGCAGAGAGTTTTGTCGTGGGGACGAGGGACTATATGTCCGCCGCTGCTGCACATCAACCGGAGCTTAACTGAACCAACTGCCGCCGCCGCCGCCGAAGAACCATGATTAGATGGATATATGGAATTGTCTTCGCCCCATGAATCGGTGTTGCGGGATCGAGGGGAGAAGTCATTGGAATGGAGGTGGTTGTGGGTGGCGGAGGAAAGCCGTTGCGGCGGAGCGACGGTAGGGTCCATGTGTGAATTACGGGGGAGGAATGGATCCGATTGGGAGGTGGATGTTCTTATATGTCTCCAGCTGGATACGCTGCCCGCTTTAACCAATTAAAAAAGATGTGTAGATGTGAGTCATTGCCACGTCAATTTTATGAATAAAGTTATAATCTTCCAAATTTCTGTTTATTTATAGATACAAATATAAATTATAGAAAACTGGTAATGTATTTTGATACAAATATACAAAAATTTGGTAATGTATTTTGTCTTTTATTTATTATAGAAACTTATTTTATACTTTTCTTTTCTATTGTAATAGTATATATTTTCTTTTTTACCTACAATAACTATGTATTGGTATTTTCCTACCAATATAAACACTGTATTTTATTTGTACATAGTGTTATCATCGGTAAGAAAAAGATGTAGATATGGTGTTTTTATTAGGAAATAATTGTAATCACATTGTTATAATATATTCAAATTATTTAAGTGTGTTGCTATAATAATTTATATGTTGTTAATATCAATAAAAAAATATAATATATTGCTATTATCTGTTTTATAACTGATAAAAAAAAACAAAATTGCAAGAATGGTCCCTGTGGTATATCGAAAATTGCCACTTTGGGCCAAACAGGTTTGGACTAGCACCAATAGTCCAAAAAGTTTCATTTTGTTGCGAGTTTGGTCCATTTTGGTTTTATTTTTTATAAAATGACGATTTTACCCTTTGTATTTTCTTTTTTCAGTTTTTTTTATTACATAAATCAAAAAGAAAAAAGGAAAAAGAAAAGAAAAAATGCTCTCTCTCTCTCTCTCTCTCTCCCTCCCTCCCTCTCTCTCGTCATTACTGCCATACCACCACAAAAACCAGACCACCACACCACAATAGCCAAACCACCATCGCCAGTTGGATCACAACCTCTTATCGGAACCCTAACATTTTCCGATGCCAACTTCTCATGTGCTACCCATTTCATCGTCGAATCCCCAGATCTGTTCGTCAGTGGCGAGAAGGGTTTGGCTAGAGTAGTTCCCCCGTCTGTAGCTTTGGCTCGAGTTTATTCAACCTCGTGTTTCTAGCACCACCGGAGTCCAGACCAGCCTGTGGTGAAGAGAGAACGATGATGACATCTGTCTGTCACTGACGAGAAGGGTTTCGTCGCCGCCTGTATACAAAGTCTAACTCCGATCTTTGTTTGTGAAGGGGTGAAGCAAGAACAAAGATGACATCTATGGCTCGAGTTTCCAGCGCCACTGCCGACTCTACAAACTCTAGCAAACCCTAGCAAGAACGACGTCGTTGATCCACATTTGTTGTTACGACGAAGACGATCGTTGCTCCGGTGAAGCTGACGATTGAAAACCCTCGGGGGTTTTGATTCATTTCCGATCTTCGTCTTCAAAAACCATTCCCGGATCCATAAAACTTCTAGCTTCTGACACCACCTTCGCAACCCCTCCTCGCTGTTGCAAACCCTAGCAACTCGACGAAGACGATGGTTGAGCCGCTGCAAATCGGATACACCTGGAGCCTTTCCGATCTTTGTCTAGTTGCCTTCTTCTTGGCTGTTAAGTCTCCGACGAGGTTTCCATCGATCAAGAGGGTCAGCGGAGCAGTGGGTGAAGGGATGGGTGTTTGTTGGTGCTACCCGACCGGAGAGAGGCGGGGAGCGGCTGCGAAGGTGCTGGTCGGCAACCTCTTTTCTTCGTCGGAGGAAGAGAGGGAGAGAAACGACCATCTTGTGGTTTTAGTTGTGTGTGTGTGAGAGTGTGAGAGAGAGAGAGAGAATGAACATTTTTTTCTTTTCTTTTTTCTTTTCTTCTTTTATTTTTGTAATAAAAAAGGAAAAAAGAAAATAACAAGGGCAAAATCGTCATTTATAAAAAATTAAAGCACAATGTACCAAACTAGCAACAAAATGAAAACTTTTGGACCATTTATGTTAGTCAAAACCTGTTTGGCCCAAAGTAGCAATTTTCGATATACCACAGGAACCATTCTTGCAATTTTGTCTAAAAAAACATACATTACTTTGTTATTTTTTGCAACATCAAAGTGATCTAATTTTGATGATTTGTGAGATTATTAGGATTGGTCACCATTTAGACACTCCAAAGTGTTATCATCTTGTATTACGTTCCTACCATTTTCCTACCATACATCTAAAAAAAACAATCCTCACTTTCACACCGCCATAATATATAATATATATATATATAATATATATATATATATATATATATATATATATATTATATATATATATATATATATATATATAGTTAGGTTATTTTGTTTTTACTAAGTATTATGTCATATGAAATTGATTATGAGCCAATCATTTGGGATAATTTAAGTAAGGGTTCTATATTTATTAACTAATTAAAAATAATCAATTTAATCACACAAATTTCAGCATAAGGGTATTTTGGACAATTAACTATATTTAAAAAGGAAATTTTCAGAAATTTAGGGATTATTTTATCTCCTAATTTTAAAAATCTGAAAATTTTAAACTAATTCAATATTAATTCCAATGTATTTTTATAATAACATAATTTAAATAGTCAGAATGACATTTTGTTAGAATGATATATTCTATGAGAATGTCAGAATACATATTCTTATAGAATACATGTTTGAATTGAATGACAGAATACATATTCTTATAGAATGAATATCAGATCATATCATTCTTCAAACGAAATAAGAACATTTTTTGATTGAATGAACTTTTTAAGAATAACAATTTTTTTATACAAGTTAATTTTTTGTCATCACATTCTTAAAAAATAAAAATCTTAATATACTATTTCTATTATAATGAAACACTAATTAATAACAAAACAAACACAATTGGTAGATTATTCTAACTAAATATTCTACCAGAATATACTATAATATATAGTCTTATGATTATATTGTAAATTATTATGCCAGTGCTTTATTTTGTGAAGATCATTGGCCGTTGTTCATCTTCATCCCACATGCCATCATCCAACCTTCAAGCACTTGATCATCATGTTCCTTTCACACATTCTTTGAGAATAACTTCCTTAAAATCGAGTATTCGATGAGAATAACTGGCATGAAATCGAATATGTAAGAGTAACATTCTATACATTCACCATGAGCATTTTAAATTCTGTGCATTCTAAAAGAATAAAACTATAAATTATTATAGAATATGGTAGACAAAGAGCTGCAGATGGACATAAACTCAAGGATGGTAAGTGATCCCTACGTAAAACTTGAAACATCTGAAAAGCATAAGAAACAAAAATCATGATAAAATATTAATCCAGTTGCAATAGAACCCTAGAAAAATCATTCTTATGTGATTATACTAGAACTACAATTCTAGCATAATCATTCTTATATGATTCTGCAAGAATATAATACTCTTTACACATTATTCAAATAGAAGAATACAATAGATGCAAAATATTCTTAAAGAATGAAAAAGTTAAAGATGAGAATAACACCCGATGATGAGGTAAGATAACTATTCTAATATTTCAGTTAGTTGATCACTAAGTAATAACATTATAGTACACAAATAATAACATTGATAGAGATAATTTGTTGTACTCCTGGTTCAGTAATTACATCAAACACTTGGTGGGCATTGATGAATTCTAACATATTTGAACACTTAAGCTCAAAATAAAGTTTAATTCAATTGTTGTTAAGAATGACTATGAAAGTGTAGAAAGTTGATAGAGATAATTAGATGAATTCTAAAAATGAACACAACACAAATTGTTTAGCATGACATGACGTTTCCATAACAAAAAGTTGTGGGAGTAATGGTCTCTAAGGAATTGCGATATGGATGAGAGCCTTCCAACCTTTCTCATCATGACATCAATCAATAGACGACACTGTACGAGAATAAAAAAAAAAGGCACAGTTCATATAATATATAAAATCGGTTCATATATAATCAGAAATTGCAAAAAGAGTTAAGCAATTAAATCAATTAATATATAAAATTAAAACCTTTATGGGTGACAATCTCATGAATCGATTACGGGAACAGAGAATCAGAGGAGAACCCAAAACTTAAAACCTGATTCCGAAATCTCCCTTCTCCACCTTGAAACCTGACTCCGAAAACGTAAATCCCTTCCTCCCATCACCACCGCCTCAACCACTGTCCATTCTCGATTTCCTCCATCGAAGTCTAAATCCCTCTTTACAGCGATCTGGTGACGTTTTCGTCAGAGGAGGGTGGTCGGCTTGAAGACGATGGTGGCCAACAGCAGAGATATGGAGGAAGATAATTGAAGACGGAGATGGAAGATGGAGAAGTGGTTGTAGTGTCGGCTGAAGATAAAATGGTAGAATAGGGCTTTAATAGATAAATAAAAACCGATCCCTTAAATAAAGGTATAATTTTGGATATTAATTAATACATATATGTAATATTACTAACATACCCTTATTAATTTAATTAATGATTTCTTTTTTCCTAAATTCTGATCGGTCAATTCATGCACACAATAGTTGTTGGAAACATTTGAACCTAACTCTCCCTCTCTCTATATTTTTTGGTAGGAAGGTAAGATGTTTTTTTTTCTACATATTTTTTTGTCGAACAAAACAAATGAATCACTAGATGAATAAAAAATAACATGATTCACAAAAAAAAATTCTTAAAAAAACATCTCGATGATTTATTTATACAATGATTTTGTTGTTATTCACTAAAATTGTCATAAAAGTGAATTTTTTCTTAATTACTTAAAAATAAATCATGAAGATGTTTTTTTTGGAATTTTTTCTGATGAATCATCTAATGATTCATTTTGTTTGTTCGCTAAAATAATATGTATAAAAAAAAATTAATACCTTACTATCAAAATTTTCCTTCTTATTTAATCTTGACTATATATATATATATATATATATATATATATATATATATATATATATATATATATGAGAAATTAAATATCCTCGTACTTTTGTTCCTACAAATCCTCCTACCCAATGAAATGATGGCATGTGTCAGATTTGTATGCTAAAATATCTTTAATTGAGCATTAAATGTTACACATGTCAATATTTAATTGGGTTGGAAGATTTGTAGGAACAATAGGTAGAAGGATATTTAATTTCTCTCTCTCTCTCTCTCTCTCTCTCTAGGTTTAGGTTCTATGGAAAACAAAAAACCCTAAAAATCATTAAAATGCATAAAAAAATACTTAGAGATCACAAACTTTTTTTTGATTTTTTTATCAAAAATCGCAACTTTTAGGTCAAAATCGCTGAAAAATTTTGAAATTTTTTTTTTTACAAAAAAAAAAATTTGATTTTTTATTTTTTTTTTAGCGAAATTGTAAAAAATGCTGTGATTTTTTGATAAAAAATTAAAAAAAAAAAGTTTTGTGATGTCTTGGTATTTTTTTTATGCATTTTTATGATTTTTAGGGTTTTTTTGTTTTCCAAATAAGCCTTCGCTATATATATATATATATATATATATATATATATATATATATATATATATATATATATATATATATATTATATATATATATATATATATCTATATATATATATATATATATATGGTTGAGTTCAACAAGGAACCATTTTAAACCTTAGAATCAAGGAACAAATCTTTTCTCAACTTTTAGAGAAAATTTTTCATAAAAAAAACTAAAAATTTAGATATTCGTAACTTTTTATCCTCCATCCACTGATATCAAATTCGATAAAAAAAATTGATCTGTTCAGATTCACACTGTGAATTTGTTCATATTCACATTGTGAATCTATACAGATTCACCCTGTGAAATCTGTGCAGATTCACACTGTAAATTTGTGCAGATTCATACTTGGAATTTATACAAAATTAATGATTTATAGTGCAGATTCATAATATGAATATGAACAGATAAAAAAAGTAAAAAAAAAAATTATAAAATTTGATATCAATGGAAAGAAGATAAAAAGTTATGAATTTCTATATTTTTAGAATTTTTTTTCGATAAATAATAAGATCTAAAACTTGAAAAAAAATAATGGTTCCTTGGTTCTATGGTTTAAAATGGTTCATTGTTGAATATATATATATATATATATATATATATATATATATATATATATATATATATAATATATATATATATATATATATAGGTAGGTTCAAATGTTTATCACATCTATTGTGTGCTAGAATGCACCAATAGGAATTTAGTATTAATTATATGTATATTAAATGCTATCCATACTTATAACTCATTTTTATGGAAACTAATTAAATTCGTCATTAATGTCAACAATAATATTCTTTCAGAATGAACTCATATCTAGAAAATTGAAAGTGTATTCCTGCAGAATGAGTGTATTCTAGTAGAATACATTCTCGTTCTTCAAATTCCATGCAACTTTATTGTATTTTAAGTGAGTGAGTTCTGAAACAAAATACAAACTCATATATAAAAACCTAGATGCGAATTCATTCTGAAAGAATTTAATTGCTGACATTAATGACGAATTTAATTAGTTTCCATAAAAAGAGAATTATAATTATGGATATCATTTAATATACATATAATTATGGAAATCATTTAATATCTATATTTATTTAATTAAATAATTATTTAATTTACCAAATTTCTATTGGTGCATTCTAGCACACAATAAATGTAAGAAACAAAATAACCTAGCCTGATATATATATATATATATATATATATATATATATATATATATATATATATATATAGAGAGAGAGAGAGAGAGAGAGAGAGAGAAGAGAAAAGAGGTATAATCATATATAAACATGCATATATTGTGTAAATATATTGTGTAACTGTGAAACCAATTCCTGGCCAATCAATATATGTTATTTTTTATTTAAATTTAATTAATAAAGGGCATGATGGTAATTTAATATATAAATTAGTTAATTAATTTTTAATTAAAAGCTAAAATTTAGGAAATGTATCTCTCTTTCCTTATATCACGTATTCTCTTCCTTCAAATTTTAGGGCTCCATCGGGTAGCCCTGCCATGCCTCTTCTACAGATCTTATTCGATTCACCATACATGCAACTCGAGAAATAGAAATGAAGGTAGATACACACACAAGCTCAGTTCTTTAAGCAAGAAAGAGAGATGACTTGAATCTTTTTTTCTTTTTCATAGCTACATGAACATCACGAATCTATTTTTTTCGTGTTTAAACATGTATCAAAATCACGAAGCGTGGTGCATCGCTTCCAAGAAATACGTTCGATTAAAGAAGGCGAAGGATATGATGCTCGTTCGTTTCTAAAAAAGGGAAGAAGCAAACCTAAAAAATCGATTATTAAGGGAGACGACCTTGTTTTTGCATAATCACCTTCGTCGTCCCTGTACGTCAAGAAAATAGGCCTGCAAAAAGCTACATCCACCATCACCGACTAATCATCATCGCTTTCTCATCTCCGATTTTAACTTCAGATTTTATTGGTCCAGGTTCGGATTGAGTCGTGTAGGTGTATGATGAGGCGTGATCAATTTTGTGGTTGAATGCCTTACGCCCCAAAACGGTTTGTGAAAATGCCACCTTGATTTGCGATGGAATACTCCTACTCTTAGAGAGGTGAGTATGGGCAACGCCCTAAGTGGCGTTATTGGGTGTTATAACACGTGAACACCGCCCCCCTTTCCCGTTATCAGGCGTTATTAGCATGCGCGTTGCTCCCCGTTACCACCATAATATGTTATAACGCCTCTTTTTTTGTCTTTTTCCTAATAACGCCACTTGCCCATACCTACCAGTCTTAAATGAATCTTAAATGAATGATTCTAACATGTCTTCAAACATATTCCAATTTCATGAAAATACTCCTTCCAATTTTTCCCATATGAGTAGGACATAGTATGTTATGCTTTTTTTCTTTGTCTTCTCTTTATTCACTTTCTTTTTATTATTAATTCTTTTTCCTTCTTGTTTGTTGTTTTGACTTTTACCCACAAATATGGCCTACAAAACTAATAATAGTATAATACGTAGTTTATATGCAAACGTAAGATCAAGATTTGTATAGGTTAGCAATAATGATAAAATACACATTAATGATAAAGTAATATGAACAGAAGAGAAAAGAACTTGTAGAAATGGCACGGGGAACAATATTATGATTTTTAAAATAATGTTAATTGTGCCAAGCCGTGAACTTATTTAACACTATTCCTACTTTATATGGAAACATGCTTGGCTAATTTCCATTAACAATAAGCAACCAATTCCCACATAATGTTTTCGGTTCTTATACCAATTATATGCAATCAAGTGATTTTTTTTCTTCATAAAATGATAGATTTTGGAATGAAGTAGGAATGTAGACGTATATATATTTGCAAAAAAAAAGTTACTTTATAAAATGAATTTTTTTTTATTGATGATTAATTTTTTTTTATTGAATGCTTTTAATACATATTTTATCATAATTGGTCTCTATTTTTATTTTTAAAGATTGACATCCTAAATAATAAAACATAACAATTCTTGTGATTGATGTTGCAACCCTATGATGATTTTATATTTGTTTATGTATATTTTTGTGGTTGATTCATGATTCATGATGTCATTTAAATGAGCTTATTTATTCTTTCATGTGTTACCCAATCAAGAAAAAAAAGATCACTCGATCAAGAAAAACAAAGATAAGGAGGAGAAGAGGCATAAGATTGTATTTTTTTTTAATTCTCATTAGAATGTCACTTTTCTTCTTCTTATAATTCTCTTAATCTTATGAAAATGTTAAAATAGTGCTTGTTTTTGTTTTCTCTCTATTTATTTCTTTTAGTCTAATCAAAATTTCAGTTTTGTATTTGTATTCGATAATCATTCTCATAAAAAATTCAATTTTGTACTTTTAATTCTTGCCAAAATGTTTTTTTGTTTTGAATTCGCCTAGAATGTTAGTATAACATGTATATTTTATCAAATGTTAATATAAATTTTTTAGTCTCATGTATAATTTGTCAACAGTTAATATAAATTTTTTAGTCTTGTACGTTCTGTCAATTTTAAATTTTTTATTCTTATTGGAATAATTCTTAAAGAATTATTTTTTTAATGTAAATAAAAATAAGACAAAAATGCAAAAATGGACCCTATGGTTTGTCATTTTTTGTGGATATGGTCCAAACCTTTTGAAAATTGGATTTTTGGTCCTTATTGAGAGGTTTGTGTGTGGAAAAGGTCCCTGGAGTTAACCACCGTTTGTTTTTGGCTGTTAAACCCCTCACGTGCATTACACATGAGGGCATAAATGTCTATTTACTCGAGAGGAAACAGAAGAACCAAATTCATAGATGGAAGCTCCAATGGTGGCTGATATCACGAGGGGAGGGACGGGTGTCGATCTCCGGCGACCCTTGTGGGCTTAATCGTCGTCTGATCGGGAATGAGAAAACGAACGGGTCGATCAGTGAGCACATCACGAGAGGGGAAGGAACAGGGCAGATCGACGACGATTTCGGGGGTGTTTGATGCTATGGAGCCGACTAGGAGCACAGGGAAACTTAAGAGGGTCATCGCCCTCTTGATCGCCGACAAACCTCGACTCAGGTGGAGGTACTTCGACTGCAAATGAAGAGGGAAGAGGGAGGGAGAACGACGGTATCAGGGGTGTTTTGGGGCGATGTTTTTCGGCAGGAGGAGGGGTAGCTCCTCGATGGTTCACCACAACACCGCCACTACCGGTGGTGCTTGGTTGGACCGAAGAGAGAAAGAAGAATGGAAGTAGTGGGGGGTCTCGTCGGTCTTGGTGGTGTTCTGTAACAGCGAGGGAGGCCAAGGGTGGGTTGAGAGGGTCGTGGCAAGTTTAATCCAGTTGTTTCTTCTCTTTCTTTTCCGGTCACAATAATGGAAGGAAGATGGTGGTGGAGCTGTGCGAGACGACTGGTGGTGTTGGGGTTGTTGTGTGGTCGGGAGGGAAAGGGGGATTCCATGAAGCTCCTTCTTGTTTTGTTGCAGGTATACACAAGAAGGAGAACCAATTTGTTCTTGGCTGGGAATGAAGATGCAAACAAACACAAAGAATCAATCAATTTTTACTGTAAGGGTTCAATTGTTGTTGGTTGTTTGGATTGTTGATTTTATCATTGCTAGTTTGTGGTTGAGTGTTGTTTTGATTGAGTGTTGTATTGGGTTGAAGAAACTGTGCACATAATCTGTTTAATTGTGATGTGCAGGATTATTTATGCCCATCGTTTCCTTTCGAGTAAAAAGACATTTATGCCCTCGTGTGCAATGCACATGAGGGGTTTAACAGCCAAAAACAAACGGTGGTTAACTCCAGGGACTTTTTCCACACACAAACCTCTCAATAAGGACCAAAAATCCAATTTTCAAAAGGTTTGGACCATATCCACAAAAAATGACAAACCACAAGGACCATTTTTGCATTTTGTCTAAAAATAATAAATTTATTTCCTAAAAATTTGGAATTCATTCTTTTGTTTCCTTAAATAAAGATACACAAAATGTCCAAATTACCCCTAATACATTTTAAAATTTGAATTCTTAAAAAATAAAAATTAATAATAAATATAATAATATTCTTACAAGAATGATTCTATTTTTTATTGATCCAGTAGCTAAGATTTAGTTACACAGTTACACAATAGATACTAGTTATAAATAGTCATATATATATATATATATATATATATATATATATATATATATATATATATATATATATATATATAGATATATATATATATATATATGCTCTATTTTATTGTTGTATATAATGCTCTATGTATATTATATGTATTTATTATGAGAGAGAGAGAGAGAGAGAGAGAGAGAGAGAGAGAGAGAGAGAGAGAGAGAGAGAGAGAGAGAGAGAGAGAGAGAGAGAGAGAGAGAGAGAGAGAGAGAGAGAGAGAGAGAGAGAGAGAGAGAGAGAGAGAGAGAGAGAGAGAGAGAGAGAGATGGTCAGGCTAAGAGGAGTGGTAACACTCCTAACACCTTGCCACCCCATCTCTCTAAATATCACCTCATTTTTCTCTATTTAGCATATAATCTTAGCATTTGGTAGGGAGTGATAACACTCCTAACACTCCATTTTTTAATTTTCTTTTTCTAATTTAATTAAATTACTTTATTTTAATACACCAACATTTTTTATGCACATATATTAACTCTCTAAAGGTGTACACATCATAAGTTTATTATCATTGTCATTAACCCATAAATTTACCAAGGAATGTATTCTCTTTTACCAAAACATTATTGTCATCTCCATAAAAAACAAAGTGATAGGGCTTCGGGGCATTTAACAAGCCTCAAAACAGCATGAATTAATCAACATTTCAAACACAACTCCTGTAATTTTAAAATTTTCCTATATATTCAAACATGTAGAATTGGGTCGTGGCCATCTTGTGAATAAAATCAAACATAAAACCAACAACTTATATTTGGATCCTTGAGCTCTTTCAACAACTTGATTTCTCTTAGAGGAATAAAATTCACCCCTTCCTTCTGCTTCCCAAGCCGGATTTTCTTTATTGCAACGGTTTGCCCCGTCTGTCTCACAACCCACAACTTAATCAAACACTGAAAAATGCATGTAAATGTAAAACAAATCGCTATGCGTTTTCTTTTCTTTTAATATCTTAATATATAGAGATTATATGGACACAGTAAAACACACACATAATTATCCTTGTTGCTGGTTGGTATAATGGAATTACTTTCCAATGACATACCCTAAACCCCTAAATTTTATTCAACGAAGAATCATGTGGAGATTATTTCAATGGGAACAGAAACCCTAAATTTTATGTTACATACACATTCAATAGCCACACAGAGTATTACAATACCTTGGTATCAATGGCTTTGTAGACGACGCCATAAGTACCTTCCCTAAGAACTTGACGTTTCACGTATCGATCAGCTGCTTTCTTTGCTAATAAGTGATCCATGTCTGACATCTCTTTCCTCTATTTATATTATTTTTGGCCGACCAACAGGCTATGCCAAATATGTGCTTGTTTCAACTATTATATTAGATTTTGTTCCTAAAGCCCTTCTTAGATGAAAATGGATTTAAGCAGAGACAAAATTTAAATGGAATAGATAATAATGTGTACACATACCTTTTTCGAGCATATGTTATGAAGGAATCCATAGTCTATTAATCGGCGAAGAATAATAACTTACTTGAATAACATAATCTTTGGTTTGGTTTTTGGTTGAAAGCGATTTGACCCTACAAGCACCAATCAAATTCAACCCTCACCCTCTCTCTCTCTTATCGCCAAAGGTGTAACGAGGCTCCAGTGGCGACGGGTAGCAAGCCCGGTGGCGACCCCCACTCCTCTTAGTCTTAGTCATGGTTCCAACTTCCAACTACGGCCAACCATGACAACGCCAACCGCACCACCCTTGGGGTGGTCACATTGAAAACGCGCACAATGCGTATGATAGCGACTTCGGTCTGAGTGGTCTTATGAAACACTACAAAATGAAGTTTGACTTAAATTCAATAAGGCAACAAGATGTTAAAGAAAATGATCTATTTGCTCTCTCTCTCTCTCTCTATATGTAGAAAATATCTTACCAAAAATCTTGAACCATAAACGTTAGAGTAAATTATAAAAGCATTTTTTGTGCATGAAAATTTATGAACAGTTCCTGTCAGAACTCCATATTTTTGTTTTCTATGGTGAAGTTAAAGTTACTTAATAAGACAATTTCATTTATACCTTTTTCCTCTTCTATCTTAAAATTTTAATTACAAAAAGAACCTAGTTAATACTTTTTAAAGCCTCCATAATCCGATGCCTACTATATTATATTTTTAATCACGAGTTCAAGGTCGACTTTCATGGATAGTTCATGGTTGTTGTGTAAAATATTGATTATATTTTTATGCATTTAAAACTGAAATTTCTTATTAAGATTTTCTAGTTGATTCCAATTTTCCCTAATGATTAGTGGAATATATCAATATTTGAAGCTTACACGGATATTGTTCCCTTTATTGATAAAGCGTCTTTTGGTGCCAAACTTTAGAGAAAGATGTTGAACTTCAACCGCTTGAAATAGATGATGACATCATTTAAGATAGTTTATATAAAGTTTGAGCATCTAGATTTTTTCCATCACTTCTTAAAAGCCAAATTAGATTAACTGAAGTATCTATTGAAATAATGTTTCACATAAATTGATGTGGTCTTCTATTATAATATTGGAGTTCTATATTTTGTGTCTAAGCTCAAGATATACAAAAATCGAAGATCAAACTGAGAGATATTCTTTGAAATAGAGTATGAAACCAATAGAGATGGATGTGTGTTATTTTGAACATTTAAAATTGTTGAAGAAGCTACAAGGTGTTATCATGTTTAAGCGATTAGGATCCACGGTGATAATGCATATCTAACTTCCCTCATTGAGTCGAAACCATGAAAAGTAGTTTCCAAGTTTAACCCCACCTCAAACAAAAACACTAATAACGAGTATTGTGGTTTGTTTGGATTTATGGAAGAAAAAACACAAGATAATCATGTTGCACACTTAGACCAATCCATAAATTTATGACAGAAGTAAACAATCATGATTCTCAATAGAACAATAATAAAATAGAAAAAAAATTACTAAATCGAATCAACAAAATTCGATACAAACATGACAGCGTACTTGAATTTGAAGATTACAAAGACGAAATTGTGTAGATTGAGCATGATATTGATTTGTCTAGATGATACAACAATTTATATTCAAGATTGATCTTTAATATGACGAATCAACATCATGCTTCCATCAAGAAGAAGAGAAAAACATGAGCAATTTGAAGATTTGTTAATATGGTTCGATATATGTTGAGCAGAACCGCTCGATTGTTATATTTTTTGAGTTCTATATTAGAGTCTGATGCACACATTCTCAATATGGTTTCAACCAAGAAAATGAATAATGCACCATACAAGTTATGACATGGGCTAGTGCAAACATTGTCTTACTTGAAGGTCTAGGGTTGTGAAAATCACGTGAAGCATGAGACTTCTCACCAACTTGAGTCTAAGAGCAACCAATTTACTTTTGTAAGGTACCTAAAAGAAATGGTATACTTTTTCTACAAGACTATCGAAAACAAAGCGTTTACTTCTCAGAATGTTGAGTTTCTAGGAAGAGTTTGTTGTTATAAGAACCAAGTAGGAGCAACATAGATCTTGACGAAATTTAGGAACCACAACATGAGACACCTTCTTAAAGAACTAATAAACGGTGTGATGAGACCCTACAAACAGTTGCAAAGGCACCATGACGAACTAGAAAGCATTCCCAGATCTAGAAGAGTGTCTCAACAACCAGAGAGATGAATTTCTCGTGATTAAGGAGGAATCCGAAGATCATTATGAGCCTACTAATTACTATGATGGTATGTCATATCTAGAATTTTATAAATGCCTAAAAGCCACTCATATGTAATCCATAAAGGATAATTAACTTTGGAACTTTGTTGATCCTCCACTTAATAGTAATAATGTTGGATGTAAATGGTTCTTCGTAAAAAACCCGACATGGACGGTAAAGTACACCTTTAAGGACCGAATTATGGCACAGGGTATGCACAAATTCATGGTATAGACTATGAGGGAACATTCTCCTCAATCTTAAGCATAAATGTTATTAAAATATTGATAGTGATTGTCATAGTTACATATTATAATGTCAAAACAACCTTCTTGATTGGTCACCTAAGTCAAGACGTTTATATGTTGCGACCAAAAGAGTTTGTGAATCCAAAGCATCATAAGAAAGTGTGAAATCTTCAAATATCCATTTATGGATTAAAGTAAGAATTTAGAAGTTGGAATTTTTGTTTTTATAAGAAAATAAAAAAAGATTGGTTTTAATCAAAATCAAAATAGGCCATGTGTTTACATTAGATATAGTAGGAGAGTATAACATACTGATGATGAGGTATTTTCAATTTTAACCCTATGTATGAAGGAATATTGCATTTTGACGCTTGTGCTCGAGAAAGATTGTAAGAATGACCCATAGTGGTATCTTGGTTATTTTGGCCAAAGAGTTAGTACGCTGGGCGTACGTTGTGTATGCTGAGGGTACTGGGGCGGACCTTAGTACACTGGGCGTACACCGCGTAGGCAGGGCGTACATAATAGGTCCTCAAACCCTAATTTGTAAGGATTGGTCCATATATAAGCATCATTATCACCTCATTTCTCATTCCCTCATCAGCCTTCACCTGAGAAATTGTCCCTCTAGCAAACGCTAAATGAGAAGAGTGCATTGTGAGCTCATTAATGTGCTTTGGTGGTGTTCTTGAAGAAGGAGAAGTTGGTACAAGGACTTTGGAGCTTGGGAGAAGCTTGGAGCTAGGATTCTTCACTTGCTAGCAACCTCCAAAAGGTAAAAAGATCCTTGCTTGATCATCTTATCTTGTAGATCTAGCCATTTCTTCATTTAGGGCATTTTGGTCCCAAATATGAAGATTCTTGAGCATAGCATGCTCTTAATCGAATAAGTCGTCCTTTCAGACCTAATGAGGGGTATTGAGTCATAAAAATGTGGTCTTGATTCTTAGTTTTTCCCCATGCATGCTCTAGAAGGTCTTAAGGTGTTAAAAAGTTGGGAATTTGTGTATTAAACACTTATTGGGCAAGCAAAGTCATAAAGTTGGAAACTTTATGACTCTTAGTGGTATTTTAGCCTTGGATCTGCATTTGGACGTATTAAGTCGAAGTAATAACCTCTTAATAGGTTAAGAAGGAAAACCGATGCGTACGTTGGGCGTATCAAATGGTATGCTACGCGTACACAGATTTGGCCCCGACGTCTCGAACCGCCAGTACGCCTCGCGTACATATGGAGTTGACTTGGCTGAGTTGACTCAGCTAGGTTGACTCGGATGGGTTGACTCAGTTGACTTGTTGAGTTTGACAAGTTTTGACCAAGGGTATTTTAGGAAAAATATTATTAATTTAATTGGAAATGTGCTGATATTTAGGAGTCGGGTTAAGTCGGTTATCAAAGCAGGGATTTATTCAGACTACATTCACACTGTGAGATGAGTCTTCCTCACTATACCTGTGGGTCGAAGGCACCAATGCCGGCCCACTAGATTATTTATCATGTTTAGGATAATGCTATGCTAGTATGTGGCTGATTAGCAGATTTATATGATTATCTGTATTTTGTCGGTTCTGTGTTTATGTTTATCTGTTACATAGAGGTTGTATTGCTTTGTGTTGTAGCCAACAAACCCGTGAGCATTCCAGATATGAGATGAGGTCCCAAATGGCATGCCACACTCATATTGAGAGCTCGAGAGCATTCCACATATGAGATGAGGGCCCGAATGGCATGCCAGAGTCATACTGAGGGCTCGGGGGTATTCCAATCTTTCTAGTTGTGGACCCAATATATGTTGTTATATGTGTGCGTGTGCTGGTACTTTGGGGGAACTCACTAAGCTTTGGCTTACAGTTTTTAGTTTATGGTTTCAGGTACTTCAGAGGATCGTGGGAAGGAAAAGGCGTGATCGTACACATCTTCCTGTTTTGTCACTGGATCTTAGGGAAAACTCTGAATTGGAAATAATACTTTTGAACAATGACTATTTTTGTAAACAATGATGACGAATGCTTGATTTTGAAAATTTTAAATTTATTGTGATTTTTGAGTGTTACAAGTTGGTATCAGAGCCTTGGTTTGAGAGAATTGGATTAGCATTCGTGTGAATCCATACTCATACTAGGGAACTGCAAAATTTTTTAAACTAATTTTCAATTTTTTTTCAAAAGTAAACAAGCAAGGATGCAATGTGTACGATCAGTCGGAGCAAGAGAGTATACCCCAAATTACCCACACTGTTATTTGCTATTATGTTTATGATAGAACAACATGCTAGTTATAGCCTAGGGATCTTCAAAAATTGCATGATAGAATTGCCTGATAA